ATGTAGTCATATTTAATTAAACGTATATTCAGCAAAATCCAATATTAGTACAGACTTTAATGATAAAAACAGAGTTTTCAAATGAGACTAGAACCAATCGACAAATTTCCACAATGGATGCGGCTCAATACGATTTCTATGATTTCATTAGGGGTGCACATGTGCTATTTGTATTTGGTAGCCATCTGTCCTTACTCTAGTGTTTAAAATTACGAATTATCTTTTTTAAATCCATATATATAAAATGCCTTATTTACCGTAAGATTGCAAAGAATGTAGTGATTTGTGCGTCATGCGATATAGAAACACCAGCAATACGACTAAATACGATTGGGAGAACTGCAAAAATCAAGCACTAAGGAGTTATAGTGACTCAAAAAGAGGGGGGAAATAATAACGCGTACCGTCTTGGACTCTGCTCTGAGAGAATAGCCTGAGCTGTCTCATTCAGATAGACCTGCCACTGGGGTAAGTGAACCGGCTGGTCGGGCAAGGGAGGACAATGCTGCGCTCTAGCTGCCTCAGCCATAAGAAGAGCACGACGCAAATTTCTTTCAGAGGCATCAGCAATTCGGGAGGCCAGTTGACTAGGCAGCTGAACCCCCTCGCGCTTAGCCGTATTCTGGAGCACAGTACAGATTTCGTCAAGAGAAGGAGCAGCTACGCGTACCGGCAAGCACCTGGAGCGCGTGGCTGAGATAATCTGAAAATTTAGGATTGAGGGTGTTGACAAAATAAAAAAGGTGGACTTAGAGGTAAAGAAAAAAAAGAATATGGGTAGCAGACAGATATTATACAGGCAAGCTAATTCCGGTAAGAAGCGATGAAATATGCTACTGGAATGTCTGAAAAACAAAGCGAAAACAAGATACTAAGCATAAAGTCTTCAAGACACTCAGGAATCTCATTAGAGTCACGTGCAATTCCGGGTTGAACGTATCCATTCAAGCATTAAGGTATCACGAAATGGCATAAATCCCAGTACCAAGAGAAAGCTGAGGAAACAAGGGAAAACGTGTGAGGACCTATAATCTTAAGGTTATACATCATTTTGGTTTAGTGAAGTTAGATTCTATAC